TCTCCCTGTAGCCCCAGCTGTCCTGGAACTCACTATGTAGACCAGGCTGGCCTTGAACTCACAGAGATCTGCCTGCCTCTGCCTCCCAAATGCTGGGACTACAGGCGTGCACCACCACGCACTGTGAGTCCCTACCATTTTCTTTTCTTTTTTCTTTTTTTTTTTTTTTGGTCTTTTTGAGACAGGGTCTCCCTGTAGCCCCAGCTGGCCTGGAACTCACTATGTAGACCAGGTTGACCTTAAACTCAGAGATCCGCCTGCCTCTGCCTCCCATGTGCTGGGATTAAAGGCATGTCCCACCACACCTGGCTTTCATTCAAGCACTTTAATATCTACTATGCACCAGACACAGTGGATTTTAACCTGTTCTTGGGAGTAATCCTCCAGGGCAGAAGTTCTACAATTAAATTATTTGAATGTGAATTCAGACCCTCAATATTTCCTGTTGAGTTAACTTTGGGCAAATTATTTAACCCATTTATCCCTGTTTCCTCATGCCAAAAATAGGGACAGGGCTGAAGAGATGGCTCGGCAGTTAAGAGTGCCAGTCATGTTTGATTCCCAACAGCCACCTTCAACTCCAGCTTCAGGACATCCAACATATTCTTCTGGTCTTCGAGGGCATCCATACATATACAAAAAAAACGCATAAAAATACATCTTAAACAGAACAAGGACAGTAACAGTAATCACCTTTGATCACTGAAGTCCAGAGTGGTGGCATACACCTTTAATCCCAGCATTTGGGAGGCAGAGCAGGGGAATCTCTGTGTAATTGAGTCCAGCCTGGTCTACATATCAAGGTCAGGGTTAGCTGGGCAACAGAAAGACTGTCTTAAAAAAAAAAAAAAAAAAAAAAAAAAAAAATAGCCCAAAACCAAACCTTGGATCATTGTGGAGACATTAAGTTGTTCTTCATTGAATGCTTTCATCTGTGTCTTGAAGGAGGCATTCTCCTAAATGTGTCTTCCCACCAAAGGCTGGGGAAAGGATTAACCATTCGCCTTGAAAGCGAGTAAGGGCATACACAAGCAAAAACTCTTATACAAGATTCTGAACATCCTGGCAGTCTTTCTAACGTGAAAAAAGCATTCAGTTCCATGGCTGGAGAAAAGGGAAAGTCATTTCCCTTTTCCCTGTCATCTCAGCGCATCTCAGTTGCCAAGTACCTGCAAATGCAGCCTGGCCTAACCCTTCACCAAACTCTCCTGCATCTGCACCCAGACAACTCTTCACATACTGCAGCTGTCCATACACGCAACCAGCTCCAAGATGGGGTTACTGTCCCCACAGACGAAGAAAACGGAAGCTCACAGAGGGGGAGTGCGCCAGCTTTCAAACAAGCTCGTGGGCCGGGCAGGGTCTACAGCCGAACGCAGGGCAGTAGAATGAGGACAACCCCGGATGCCCTGGCGACCTGCCACCGCCACCTTCCCCGCCCCGCCCGTGCGCCACCCCGGGCTCCCCCGACGCCTTGGTCGTAGGGTCCCTCACTCCAAGCCTTGCCATAGCTCCACAGGACCCGCGTACCCGCGGTGGCCGCCGCCATCTCCCGGCTCAGCAGCCTCCTCGAGAGCACCGAGTGCACACTTCTCTTCACTCACAGCTTCGGGCCGCCTCCACCATTTGAATTGCTGGCGTCCCGCCCCTCTGACTGGATCGGCCAACCAGAGCTTCCGGCCACCGGAAGCCCCTGCTGTACCTCGCGATTGTCCCTGAACTCGCTTCCGGATCCTGCAAGAGAAAAAGCTTCCCTAGCAGAGGGCGCATGCCCGCTTGTCTGGCGACACAGCCCTTGACGTCAGGCCTCTGCGTGCCTATAACGTGAAGCTCCAGCGGAGTCTGGCACCAACTGTTGGAGACCCCTTGAGCTTTCATGGCTCAAGGGGCTTATAGAGTTTGCCTAAATGCACACTCTTCTCATTCGTCCTTCTCAGTTATAGATTTGGTTCGAACCTAGCAGTAGTTGAAAACACTTGGTTCGTTCATCTGAAAATTTCCTGTGCTGAATACAATTCCTGCTTTAGTTGGAGACAGGAACTCCCCATATCTCTCTGGCAGACCTGGAGCTCACTATGTAGACCAGGCTGGCCTCGAACAGAGATAAGCCTGCCTCTTGACTACAGAGTTCTGGGACTAAAGGCGTGAGCCACAATGCCTGGCCACTTTTCCATGTTTTAGAGACCGAAGCGATTGTATGAGTAAGGAAATTTTGCTGTGCCTCATCCACTGGACCCCAAAAAGACCACGGAGGACCCAACACACCAAAATGCAAAAGCAAAGGTTTATGGTTTATTTGGGCTTAAGCTCGGGCTCTCACCTCACCAACGGGCTCTCATACCTCACCAACTCAACGGATCTGTGCTGAGAGCCCAGAGTAAGGGAGAGTGGAGCCTTTTATAGGTTTTAGACAAAGGGGGGGGGAGATACCGAAGATACATTTTGGTTGGTTCAAGGAGCCAATGTGCGCCAACATAATTTTAAACAATTGGATGTATAAGATG